GCCTGCGGGCGGCCGACGAGGAGGACGGGCGCGACGTGGCCCTGCAGATCCACTTCACGCTGCTGCAGGCCTTCTGCTGCGAGAACGACATCAACATCCTGCGCGTGAGCAACCCGGCGCGCCTGGCGCACCTGCTGCGCGCCGCCGCCGCGCCGCCCGCCGACCTGCACTGCGTCCTCGTCACGGTGAGGCCCCGCCGGCAAACCCGCTGCAAAAACACCCCGCGCGCGGCTGCTAAAACACCCCCTGTCCCCCTTGTTCCTGCAGCACCCCTATGCCTCGCAGTGGAAGGACCCGGCGCTGAGCCAGCTGCTCTGCTTCTGCCGCGAGAGTCGCTACATGGATCAGTGGGTGCCCGTGATTAACCTCCCCGAGCGGTGAGGGCAGCCGGACGGGAACCCGCCGAACACGATTGCACTGAAGTTTTGAAATGCTTTAGCCGTTGCTCAGGAAGTAACTCCCTGCCCTGGCACAAGGATTACAGGAGAAAACAAAATAAAATTAAAAAAAAAAAACAAAAAACAAAAAACTGAAGTCAAGTGGGGTAGGCTGCGCTCGATCTATGTCTTGTGCGGGACCGAAGGAAAAAAGACAAAAGCGACTCCGCAGCTGGAAGCGATGGGAACGAACACGGAAGCGAAGCTGAAGGAGCAGCCGGAGCTGCTGCCGGAGCGGAACCTGCCCCCAAGCGGAGACGCGGCGTGGACGAGCTGCTTGCAGCACCCGACACCCTTAACAGGCTTTAAAGTGCAACTTAGTTTCTGGTTTAAATACCTTAACTGCAAAAGAGGGAAAAGGTTAATCAAAACATTTTTACACGCAATTTTATTGTATTTTGGGATGTTAATTCTCAAGTTTTATATGCTAAGATATATAATAAGTTATTTTATGATATTGATGGAAAAATTATTTATGCTACAAGCTTTTGGAACCAGAACACCCTTAAGCAGTTGGTCGACAGCCACACCACTTGTTTTAACACTCAGATGTTTTAAATATGTCTTCATTAATATAAATGTTTGAAATTGGATAGTGTTTTTGGATTTTTTTTTGAAATAAAAAATTTAACCTCCGTTCTGCCGCATTGTTTTTCTTTCTTACCCTGCTCAGCAGTGCACGCTCGCAAGGGCCGCGTGCTGCCTGCTCCAAGCTGGTGTGCAGGGCACAGCCTGGCACGGGGGGTTATTTGGTGCAGAATCCTAACTTAGGAAGTGGCTGCTGCTGTTTTGCAGGGACTGTTGCTTATGCTGCTCCCACCTCCAGCGGAGCTGAAGGAGGCTCCAGCACGGCTGGGGGCCGGTGCCGCCCCGTGCTGCCCTTCCTGCCCCTGCTCTT